ACACACACAGATACACACACACACAGATACACACACACACACAGATACACACACACACACAGATACACACACACACACACACAGACGGGTCAGCTGAGAAACAAAGATTGACATGCAATTTTACATACTTGTAATAGCCCTCAGTCTGAATCTGCTGACGTAAAGACTTTGAGCGCTATAGATCGTATAAAGTTCATCTGGAAAACACATAGACAAGAAACTGCTTTTTTTTTTTTTTTTGCGACCCTTGCTCTTTCAACAAACATGGCTTCTACGTGATAAGCCTTGCTATGCTCTTTATCATCTGGGAAATGGTCCATAGGGACCAAAAGGTACAAAATTGTATGACTCCAGAAGATAAAGCCAAGGGAATAATACAGGAAACTATATTTGTGCCAGTTTTCAATAAATTACTTCTCAGTTCCTAATACTGGTTCTCATGGATCGCTCATGGTGAGCGTGATTTTCAGTTTTCTCAGCAGAGGGCGCTAGAGCGGTGCGGTAGGAGGACTATAGACACTCCCCTATTAAAATGTTGCAGTAAACCCATGACAATGGAAAATGTGGTTTAAGTTGAAATGTGTTTGATGCCCCTAACATCGAATATCTGACTCAGCCTACCGTACCTTCATTATGGTCAGAACACTTGGGCAAAAACCATCTAACAGTCCCTATGTCAAAATAAAGTGTTTAGCTCATGTAGTTTATGGAATGTTGTACTGGGGGTTAAGAAGCAGAATAGTTGAGTGAGTATACTTTTGTACCATTATGAGGCTGGAAAATTATAAACTGAACCGCTTTGTAAGTAGGAGCCTGTCTGCCTTGTTGCTATCCGTGCCTCAACCTACAGAGTCAGTGTGGTGGTGGTAAGGACATCTGTTGTTGCTATCCGTGCCTCTACCTACAGTCAGTGTGGTGGTGGTGGTAAGAACATCTGATGGAGTTTTCAGCTCCCATGATGTGGCTCCCAGAGTTGCCTGCTTTCCCACGGACTGTTGTCTGTGCTGGTAGACTGTGTTTGTCTGCACTATGGAGGGTTGCTGCCTGCTTGCCTGGGGAGTGCAGCCCAGGTCTAGCTCAGGCAAACCCTGCGGTGTGAGGCAAGCCCAGTTCTCTAAGGTCTGAGCATCCTGGGGGGGGCGGGGCGCGGGGGGGGGGGGTGTTGTGTGGCATCTGTTCGGGTCTGTCTGCCCTTGCGCGTCCTTTGGTCCTAGGGTGCTCCGCTAACTGTATGCCGCGGTCCCTTCTTTCTCATCACGTCATACGTCCGGCCGCCCTTCTCCCAGGCCACTGTATAGGTCACCAGTGCGGCTGATGTTTCGTTGATGCACGGCTGCCTTCCCATTTAGAGAGGAGTTTACAACATGCAGCACCAGCGAGTCAGTTGCTGCTGTTTTTCCTCCCTAGCTTTAAGGAGGAAAGGGTTATTTTCCTTTCACTCTGCTTCAATAGCTAGACTGTCATGAGTGTAACTCACATGTGGCTAGACTTGAGAGGATGCAGGAATCCCAAAGAGGCCAGTGATCATCCGTTCATTCAAGACAATGCGATCCTTAGGAAAACAAACAATTGCGAATCAACTGGTCCAGGGTTTAGTTTAAATGTAAAACAGACCTGGGAAGGAGTGAATGGGGTGCAGGGAGCCTGGTTACATCAAAGTAGGGGAAGACAGCAACAATAATATAAATAGTACAGCTAAACTGAGCAAATATGTCATTGCTTTGAACTTCTGTGACTTTTATTTTAAAAATCTGGGATTTCACAAGTTCATGATAGCCTTGTGAGCCAATAGAAACTGTGCAGGAAGCCATAGCAGTGGCTCTTACAAGTTAAGGCACAAGTTAAGACGGTATTAAACCCAGGGCCCAGCCTGCCTTGGTGCCTTAGTAATGGGCAGCTTTAAGGAGCATCCCAGGGGATGCTGATATGAGAAACCACGAGCTTGGCATCAAATGAGCTCCTGTAAGTAAGGTTGTATCTAAAATCAGAGTAGTGGTTCACGTGTACCGTTACAGCATGAAAATGGTCCTCATTGTGTCTGATGCTTCACCTCTATTAAGGCAGTTGTATGTCCTTTGTCATTGATTTCTCTGTGGCAAGGTCCTTGTGTACCCCTGATCACTCTAGAACTGCCGCAAATAAAGAAACCATTTCAGATAGTCTTTTTTCTACTAGTAATGTGAACAAAACCTATGTCTCTCCAGTAATAATAATAATAATAATAATAATAATAATAAATTCTGAATTAGCATGCTATAGCTACGTAGTACCCGGGAAAGTAAAACAAGAGAGCAATGAATTTGGAAACACAAGAGTAAAAATTCAGTATTTTCCTAAGTATCCAAAAACAAAAGTCAGTAACTTAATGAAAGATGCTTGGCTACTTCAGCATGGGCAGGTGAGGGGCTCCTGAGACTCCACTCCCAGCTGAGGAGCTGTGAGCTGTTGATGGTGGCAGGTGCGGGGCAGTCATCTTTTGGGGGTGTGGCCAGTGGTATGTTGCTCCACCCCCATGCACCCTGGGGCAGCACTAATTGGATTCAGTGGATTATTTTTTTAAGGGACATAGATGTTGTGAGAGGGGTTTGTGTTGAGGGTCCAGGGAGAGAGTTGGAGGCGGGAGTGGGGGAATAAAATTAGAAAATGTAGTTTACATACGTGGAATTCTTGAACAACAGATACACTTTAAAACATCTGTTAAGTACAGTTGCATACATGTCCTGTTTAAACTAGGTGAGTTTCCATCAGATACTAACAAGACAGAAACAAGAAAATGGGCAGAACCCAGCCCAGCTTCCTCTCCTCAGTGGCAGCTGATTTGGCCCAAGCTGGCTACTTTTTCTGTTTGGAAACCAGCTATACAGAGTGAAACCTAAAGTGTACAAAGGAAATATGTCTGGTGTCTCAGATAAGAGGCCCCTCCCTCATTCTTTAGGATGAAGCCGTTAACACAAGAAAAGCAGCACCAAGGGAGGCTGAGTCAGCTAGCTTGTAACAACAGGCCCGGAACATCCCGGGTAACCTCCTGACTTGGTCACAGGACATTCTTCCTGGAATTTCCAGGTTTCTGGTGTATTCTTAGGACACAGCAACACTGCCACACCCGACGAGAGTGGGAAGTGAGTCTGAATAAAGTGAGTGAACACTGTGACGCACGCGTGTTCTGAAACCCGCGTGATGGCGTGGCTGTGACTGCTGCTCTCATTGCTTAGCAGTGGACCCTGTTAGAGGCTTCTACAGTAAATGATTAAAAAAATAGAAGAGCTACGAAGAGATGAACACACAGGATTTCTAGCTAGGGTTTCTTCGAAGCATGGGGTCAACATCAATGAAGGCCACATCCCCCTGAGAATCAGATTTCAAAGTCCCACTGGGTACCTCACTCATTTCCTTATAACAGGGAAGGGTGTTGATTGTAGCAATAGAACAGATGGCAATGGTGTGAAGTTACTGTTTTACATGTCTAAAACAAAAAGGTCAACAAGGCAGACTGTGGATTGACCAGTCAAATCCTGCAGTGTCTGCACTTGAACACGTGGAGAGGACAACCTTAGATGTTTCTCGGGTGCTGTCTGTCCACCCTGTGTTTTGGAGAAGGGTCTCTCGCTGACCTGGAACTTGCCAAATAAGCTAGGCTAACTGGGATCCCCAGGGATGAGCTTGTCTCCACCTCCCTAATGGTGTTTTTAATGGGTTCTGGGCTTGAACATCTGCTTGCAAGGCAAGTACATTTTCTTACATTTAGTTGTTGTGTGTGTGGGGGGGCACGCATGTCTATGTGTAGAGCTCAGGGAACTACTTGCAGGAACTGGTTCTATTTCCTCATGCAGGTTCCAGGGGCAGAGTTCAAAGCTGGCTGTCAGGCTTGGCAGCAAGTACCTTGCTCTGGGGCGCCACCTCACCATCCCTGACGAATAATCTTAAACAGTGTCGGGGGCCTGGGAGCCCCAGAATTCCTCCATGGCTTTTACTAAGAACATCTGTAGACATTTGCTGTGGAAGATGATTACCTACAGGCACAGCTTTTAGGTTTCTGAGTGGTATGCATGTGATGAAATGTGTCAGTTGGACATACTATTCACTTCAAAATAACCTCTGACTTCTTGGGTCATAATGGCCCCTGTGAATGAAGAGAGAAGCATTTGAACCCAACCCTGGGAAAACGCTGGCCTCCCTGGCTCAGTGCACGAGCACAGTACACAAGCCCCACAGAACAAAGCAATAGCTTTGGTTGACTGCTTTTCAAGAAACCTCTTGGTGGCCTCTACATTAGCAACAAGCAAAAACACAGTTTATGGTGTTGTCACCCGCTTAAACTGGGGCGCTTTCCTTCAGTGCAGAGCCTTGCTCCTGGCCCATAACCCCTTATATATTTTCTCATTGAAGTCATCCTTCAGGTTAATAGACCTGGGCCATAGAACCACTCACATGCTCTCACTGAAATATGACAGTAGAAATCAGGTTTGACATTAAGGAAAACCAACTTAAAAAATATTAAAACATCCTGATTACGTAGCTCACTGAGGTAGTGCCATTAGCCCACAGCCTGCATGGGACGGAAGCATAGATTCACTTTTGAACTGGCTTTGACTCTGGGCTGGCTTCTAATAAACTGGTGAAGATGATCTAGTGGCTCGAGGAGCCATCACTGGGCTGCACAGAGCCGTCATCCCCGGGGAAAGTGTTTGGTAGGAGAAATGTGCTAAGACCTGAGCATCATGGAAACTGGGGCCTCTCACCCAGTTAACACAAGTGTAGAGTGGCCACTGGTCTCTGTAAACATCAAAGGCTGGAGAGGACTAAAAAGTACTTGTTACACAAGCCTGATGACCCAAGTCCGATGCTTAGAACCCACAAAAAGTTGTTTAACTTCAACACGGATGCTGTGGCACTCACATCCACCCACACAGCACATACACACAAGCATGTTTATACACACAAGCAAATAGTTTAAAAAAATCAGACAAGAGCAGAAGAAAAAACCCACGAAAATCTCCATATTCAATTTGACTATCTTTGGAATTCTTCATTAAGGTTTTCACAAAATACAAAGCTCACATGTAATTGTCTACATCCACCACAAAACAATCAAATAAGTGGTTAGCACACAAACATAATGATCTTTTTCAAAAATATAAATAACAAACATGTTCAAGGTTTTACAGTTTTCTTAACGTGTGTCTTTAAGGCTTTGTGTTGCAGACTGGTCCTTGCACACTGATGACAGGAGGCCACTGTGGAAACATTCCTGAGGGTGGCACACACTGGTCTCTGCTGCTTCAGCCGGTGAACACCTGAGTCAACCCCTCCCATCGGGTCGGTGTCATGAACGCGCCTTCTGCTGCAGAGCGGATAGTGAAAGGCCCAGCCACATGCAAGCTCAGGAGACCAACCGTGAAAGGCAAGGGAGGACGGAGACGGCTTCTTCCCCATGCAGTCTCTTCCTTCTACCCCAGAAGCCCCCAGTAACCCACAGTTCAAATTGCAGTCGCAGTGAAGCATCTTAGATTAAATAGTGTTGAGCGTGGCATCTTTTGGATGGGTCTTTCGGGAGAGGTTAAAGTGGAGAGGTCAATGTTGGGAAAGCGCCCCTGAATACAGAGCCTCCCACAGGAGTCGCATGGCCGGTGAGGGCTGGGGGCAGGGAGATGGTCCCTGTCTTGGGCCTGAAGTCCGAGGGAAGTGACTCCAGGAGACACTTGACCTGCTCCTGGCCCAGTTTGATCTTGTCATCCAGCTTCCGCTGCTCGATGAGGAGTGTGGACTTCATTTTCACAAAGTGCTGGTAATCCTGGAGCTGCTCGGCCGACAGGTAATTGGCCAGGATGGCCAGCACCGCGCGCTCCCTCCGGTCCAAGTTCTCCTTGAGCTCCCGGGCATCTTCATGCTGTCCAGCCAGAATCTTCCTCTTCTCATTCAGAGAACTCTGCCAGGGTAAAGCGACAGGGAAGTCAGCCAAGAACACGGGGAAGCAGATGGGCCAGGCCCCTGCATGCAGCCTCTTCCAGGACTGCAGACCCCTTCCGTACCCACCAGTGCCTTAGTGGATCAGGCTGTAAGGACAGGGCTCAAGTTTATTGTCCTATGTGAACACTCTGGGGTTGAGTGCTGTGGTAACAACTATCCCTGTTAGGTCTACACTTAAAGAGTTGACTCTCAGGTTCTCTGGAATCAGCTCACCAACCCAGGCTGCTGCTTGGGCCTCGAGTCAGGAGTTGGAGTCTGTCTGCCAAGGCTGTTGACTCACACCTGTGTAAGCAGCCTTGTCTCTTCAGAGCTGACTGACTTTCTAGAGATGCTCCACATGCCTGCACCAAACACGCTGACACACCATAAATGCCCAAGTAAGTATTTTTTAATTTAATAGTTTTTCAGACTAAAGTGACGGAGAATACGCAAAGTGGAATCCAAATGCCTTATTTAGGGTTATTAAAGGGCCCCAAACTAGCTTGTTAGACCTTTTTGAGACAGGGTATGTAGCCCTGGCTGGCCTTGAACTCAGCAATCTGCCTACTTCAGCCTCTCCAAGAGAGTAAAGGTATGCACCATCAACAAATACCACATCCAGCTAGCATGTAAGATTTCTATAACGATGCCTAGGAAACAGTATAAAGTTAAAAGTTGAATTTTGGGCTACACGACACAGTGAAACCCTGTCTCAAAAAAACAAAAGGGGAGAGAACTGTGAAAATGGAGATATTTATAGAATTTACCCCTATCAGAAAAAAGACTCAATACAGTCTGGAGACAGTGAATTAAACAAGCCATATACTTCCCACCTGTGTCTCAGATAAAAACCTAGGGATTCTGAAGTTTATGGACATTCCTTCCTACGCCATGACATATGAATATGCTGGATTTGGGGGTTTACTGGGTCACTTCTCTCTTTTCTACTGATACTTAGTTTCTCACAGAGGTTAACCGCTGCAGCATGGTATGGATTCAGGGCACTCCATATGAAGCATGAATCCCAGTGTCTGTCACAACAGCACTGTCCTTCCGGGTAGTGTACCCGCCCACGGCCTGGCCCAGCCCTTCACGCAGATTCTGTGGAGCACAGCCTGCCCCTCATCCCAATAGCCCCGTGGTCTCTCTCTCTCAGCCATCTGTCTAGCATCATGTCTATCCTCTCTCAAACATCTAACGTCATCTTAACCTCTTGAGGGGAAACACATGGACCCTGTGCATCTAGTTCCCTAGCTGTCAGCACGCCCTCTTGTACAGGAGATGCTCGCTCAGCTCCACAGTGACTGTCATCTGAGGGACAGGATTGTGTCTAACGTCTCCCCTCTATGGCCACGTACCCTTTCTTCTTTACTTGCATCTTCACCTAGGCCACTCAGGACATTCTCCACTCGGGCTAGGCGTCCAGAGAGTGAGAGCAGCAGGTTGACCACCTTGTCCAAGTCCCCTATGAACATCTTGTACTTGTCAAACTCATTGGGTTTGCAGAGCTCACTGATCAGGGCCTCCACCTCCTCTCCCAGCGCATTGTTTAGCTGGATGTCCATGAGCAGGCTCCCCTTGGCTTCCTGGAGGGTCTCGAGCTTGTGGGTAAGGCTTCCGATGAGCTCAGCCTGGAACAACACGAGAGCCACATAGCAAAGGTAAGTCAGCAGCCATCGATGTAAGGTAGACTGACACCCCCTAGCCCATCCTGCCTCTAGGGCTCAGATAAAAGTGCCTCTGCTCTACGAGGACTAATGACAACATCAGAACTTTCCCCTGGCCTTTCCCTGAACATCCGTCTACAACTGCTGTTCTTTGTCATTCAGCATCACCTGACAACACCTGATCACACCTTGCCTCATCACGTTTCCCCACTGTGTCACGTGCCTGCCGCTCTGCCCTTCCCACTGGCTTGTTACATTCTCATTCAAAGTCCTCTCGTGGCGTGTTCTTAGTGAGTGCAAAACCACGAGCTAGAAGGCAAACATCCTCTCTTACAGAGAAGCCACCAAGCAGGAATGAAGGGACTTGCCCACGGTCTGAGAGCTGAGGTTAAGGGGCTTGCCGTGCAGGGTTAGTGTCTGAGACCCCGGAGCCCATGGAAACTCGACAGAGTGACCCACAAAGCTGCTCTAACCGCCACCTGCATGCCATGACACACGATGCATATGTGTCTAAGGGCAAGGAGAGATTGTAACTAACACACCAGTGTCCTGTGGGAGCTACTTAATTTGTAAACGTCTGACATTTACCCACTGCTTCTCATCTGCAAACTGTTAACTCAGGCTGTGTGAGATGCTATTTCTATGGATTCTTTTTCTAAATAGTTCGAAACCTCCTTCCATCTCACCGTCTGCACACGAAACATCCTGCTGGGCCTCTCCACCCCCGTCCCCCGATGAACACAGACTGAGTCAGAAGCTGGCTCTGACACGATCACTGCCAGGCAGGCACCTGTGTGTGCCACCAGGCTACCCACACCGCCCGCCTAAGGCTGCCATCCTGTCTACATCACTGTGCTCAAGCTCTGTGCCAGGTACAACCATGTCTTATGACTCAACCACTGCTTCAACAACCCAACAACTGGTACTGCCATCGTCCCAATGTCACTGGTAAGCACATCGAGGTGAACGGAGGGTACGGGGCATACCCGAGCCCACACGGTAAGTGGCAGCGCCAGGCTTACACTCAGGGTGCAGACCTCAATGACCACCTTCAAATACCTCACAGGGATGTAATGAAGCTCAGATGAAATAAAGTGTGTGTGAACACACTGGAAACCAGACAGACCAGACACTTCCTGTTTGCTGGGTGCATAAGACAATATTAATTATGCATAAACTAACTAAAATTAATGCATAAAAATATTGAAAGAAACAGTGGCTGAAAAGACCCTAATTGTGGTGACAGGCACCTATCCATAGACTTGAAGCTCAGTACACACACCATCACAGCAAGGCACCACAGCCACGTGGTGAAGGGAGGCAAGCCGCCACGATGGAGGAGGTCACATTTACAGCCGGACATTACTTCTCAGCAGTAACGAAGAATGCAACAACACGTCTACACGAGGGAAGACTAGAGAATGGTCAGCCCAGAATTCTGTATGCAGCGAAAACAGCCTTCAGCAGTGACAATGTCCTGGAGACACAGGTGGAAACTACACCAGTGTACATCTGTTGAGAAGGAATCTTCCTCAGGATGAGGAAGCAAGGCCGGAGGGGAACCTGGAACTCCAGAAGCGAAGTGAACAGAAACGGAAGGCAGGGAGCAGAGGTGCCACAGCCGCCTCTCAGGACCCATCAGCAACGGCCAACTTCAAGGGCAATCGAGCACAATGGTTTTCAATGCTGCTGTCATTCATTTCACTACTAATTGTGCCAATAAAGCATCGGTGGAATTTTGTATATTGCAGACAAGGGAAGCCCACACATAACTAACTAAACAGTGGTGATTTACTTCCTGAGAGGGTGACTTAATTCTATGAAGTAATGAAAAAGTAGCTCAAACAAAATGAGGAGCTGGAGAGATGGCTAAGAGCAGTTGTTGCTCTCACAGAGGATCCGAGTCCCACTGCTAGCACACAGGGAGTCCCAGAGGATTTGATACTCTTCTGTCCTTCCCAGGACCAGGCATGTAGTGGTAGCCACACATATATACATAACATATATACAGGCAAAACACCTATACACATAATAAAATCTTTTAAAAATGAAGATGAGGAAAGTGCTGTGTACATCCCTACTGTAATGCAGAGGTATCTGTGCTCAGGACAAAGGAAAACACTCAGTTGAAGATGTCACAATACATGGGATGGCATATATAGGCTCCTCTCAGTGGTAGAGCAAAGCACAGGGCCCAGTCAGCAGAGATCTGAATGAGAACCCTTTGGTTGGGGGAAATGTGTTGTAATGGATATTGTAGCACACAGTCCTGAACTCACAATGCTGGAGTGGGCCTGGGGCATGCTCTGTACAGTAAGTAGGATGACATATGCAAGTCCCTCCTGGCGCCAACAGTGCTACAGCACGCACTGCATGATCGCTCCTTTTGCAGAAGGCGCGCCCGGGATCTGTGGAGGGCTGCAGGCAATGTGGAGCGGCGTTCTGCCCTGCAGACACAGTCTGCCCACATCTCCATGGTATGTGGGGAGGCTGTGACAACAGCAGGGTCATTTTTAAAAATGTCTGACATTTACAATATCTGTGGGAGTACCAAATGCTAACAATTACACTTCAATCCTGTACTTTAAAGGTCTCTGAGGTACTGCAAAGAGCTGGGGGTGGGGATGTAAAAAGGTCAGGGTTACCTCTCCTCAAAGTCTGGGCAGCTGCTCTTTCCCTAAGCAAAGGTGTGAGAGCCTCTAGTTTTCCTCTTGAATAAACTACAACCAGTAGCTGAGAACAGTGGCCAGGAACAGGGTCACAATCCCTGGCACGACCCAGCCAGGAACCTCAGCTGTGAGACCTTTAATAAATAGCCCACCCTCTTGAAGCTTTCATCACTTACACAATGAGAATGACAGCGACTTACCTGGCCCGTCCACTCACAGAAGACCTCAGAGAGCTCTCAAGTGCCATCAGATGGGACAGGTTTTCCCTGCCTTAGAGGCTGGCACTGGGGAACAGAACCAGTGTCCCACCCTACCTTTTTCTCGTTGACGTCCTCCTCCTCCTCTGGCTCCTCCTCCGGCATGCCTTTGATCTTGTTCAGCAGCTCTGCCTTGGCTGCAGACACACTGTAGTAGGCAGGGCAGTTGACCAGCATGCCCGCCGCTTCCTTGTCATCGCTCCTGAAACACACGGCACAACGTCAGGACAGCATTTCTGCGTTCGGTCCTTCAGAAATGCGCAAAAACTTCCACTTAAGTCTTTCCCAGAAATGGTGACAAATGAGCAAATTATTTACTGGCGAGTAATTATTATGTGCTGGGCCCCTAGAATCAGATAAAGCCAGGGTGGAAAACTTCCAAGCGCAGCGCTGGAGATGAGAGTGGGAACTGGGCTCCAAGTCATTGGCTTCTGTTCTCTTGTGGTGGGTTCTGACCTCATTTCACAGGAGGACAGGTGTGAAAGCACATCCAAGGGGCTGCACAAGCCCAGAGTACCCGTCAGTCCTGTCCTCCTGCTCCTCTGTAATCTTGCTGATGCTTGAATACATTTCCATCTTCAGCAAGCCTCACACCATACCACACCACACGCCTGTGAAGTCTGGAGCTTGATGGTTTGGTAACAATGAACTAATACAGAACCTGGTCATCAGCCAGGTATGGCGGTGCCTGTCTGTAATCTCAGTGCTTGAGAGGTGGAGGCAGGAGCATCAAGATTTTGAAACCAGCCAAGGCTATTGCATTTCAAAATAAATTTAAATAGAAAAAAAAAAACCTAGGAACTGAGAAACATGGCATTTCGTGCATTTGTTCTTACCATAATTGAGTTTTTTCATAATTTTTTTTTGAGGAGTTAGGGATGGAATCTAGGTCCTCATGCCTATCAGTAAGTCTTCTACCACTACAACCTGAGCTCAGTGGAGAGTCCAGATACCACCTGATGAATAAATTACTCATGAATTAAGTTAGGTTCTCTTGGAGGGAAATTTGAACTCTTCAATCATGTGATTTTACTCAATAAAGACCCAACATTTTGGCCGGGCATTGGTGGCACACGCCTTTCTTTAATCCCAGCACTCGGGAGACAGAGGCAGGTGGATCTCTGTGAGTTTGAGGCCAGCCTGGTCTACAGAGCGAGTTCCAGGACAGCCTCCAAAACAATACAGAGAAACTCTGTCTTGAAAAACCAAGAAAGAAAAAGAACCAACATTTTACCCATTTCCTCTAATCGTCTAATTGGCGTATCTACATGTAAACCAACTGATTAGGAAATCGGACAAAGCCTTTAGAGACGTGATGCAACTTTTCTCAGGGTACCTCTGGTGTCCTGTCCCACAGGCCCCCTCAGGATTCTAATCTGAGTCTTGCCACGAGGGGACTTTGCTTGCCTTCACCAGAAGGTGGCGCATGTGTCTTTCTGGGGATTTCAGCAAGATGGCTCAGGGCAGCAGGACCATCTTTTTTCCAAGGATACACTTTGAAATTACTTTGGTCTTTGTGCAGCAAGTAGCCAGGTAGCAGCATGATCATTTATTTACATACACCACAGTGAGCTTCAGGGCAGACCCACCCTTGGGCCCTTGTGGCGCCCTGCACATCGCAGGTATTCAGTGTGACTCTGGAGAAGTGACCGCACCTACGGTACCTTCAGCTCCCCAAATCTGAAACTGAAGACACAGATGGGGTGACCGCAGTGGCTCGAGTTAGAAGAGCTCTGAGAGCATAGCCCACAGATCGCTAATACCACACACATAGCTCTTTTCTCCCTCCCATCCAGTGAAACAGTGTCCTGCTACTAATTCAGAGAGTCAGCAGGAAGTTTCTAAACTGCAAGACTGTATTTCATTTGGAAGCTATCCACTGCGGAGCCCCAGTCTGTCAATATGCATAGTTTTCACTGAAAATCAAACCGGAAATAAAACCCATTTGTTCCCAACAGTCTTTAACGAAATCAAGTATGTAAGAAAATCTTAGAGTAACTCAAGAAATCCACACAATGGAAAACACAACTGCTCACAGTTCTCCTGCTGTGGCTGGGTTTTGGAACAGTGTTCCAAGCCCAGCAGAGGCTTGGGATCCTCCAAAGCAGAGGCTAAGGGGCCCAGCACACCCAGGGGGGGCATTCCCACCAAGACCTCAATTCTCAGGAATTGAGCAAATGCTCACCTTAATGCCTCAAAGTGAATGTCCTGCATACATGTATTTCTCTACACCCCCCTTTCTTTCTTGATTTTTCAAGACAGGGTTTCTCTGTGTAGTCCTGGCTGTCCTGGCACTTGCTTTATAGATCAGGCTGGCCTTGAACTCAGAGATCCGCCTGCCCCTGCCTTGCAAGTGCTGGGATGAAAGGTGTGCACTGATACCACCTGGGTAGGCCCTTTTCTTTCTCATGGAGACTTGTCCATGCTCTTGTGGAGGCCTCAGACAGGCCCACATCTTCTTGCTCCCTTCTTAGTCCTGAGCCTAGGAGGTCCCTGGCTGGCAATCATGTGCTTGCTGATTTAGGAACACTGTATAAGTGCTAAGAGAAGGAAGTCAGGAAGTTCAAATCCAATGGCTTCCTTCCACTCACTCATTCTGGGGCCCTGGTGGACGAAGGCATTGATACACCTGCGTGTGTTGGAGGTGGCTGCCAGTCCTCAGAGGCAACGCTTACATAAAGGTGGAAAATGAACAGTGGGTGTTAATGACTCCTACTGCTCTCATTTTTGCTGCTGGGCATCTGTCCTCAGAGTCACTCCCCTAAGCTCACGTCTGCTCAATGATCTCTGGTGGTAGGAATACACCACTTACGCACTCCAAAATGCCAGGACCCCACCGGGAGTTGAGTTGTAAGGGTCTCTGGGGGGCACTGCAGGGGACTTACCTCTTGGCTTCACACCCGGTCTGCCTGACGGTTTCTTCTAAGGCTTTCCTCTTTGCCCCACTTTCCTTAAGCACGTTAGCATCTCTGGGGAACAGACCCTCCATCAGGTCCATCGTTGTCTTCCTTCTGGAGTCCGGGTCCAAAATGTCTGCCAGAGATTTGTCTTGGTGGACAATTTCCTTGGCAAGAGCCTCTGTTCGGATATCTTCCGAGGTCTTCTGGGGCTCGTCATGGATTTTCTTTCCTAGATCCTGAGTTCTACCAGCAGGCTCATGGGTGAGGCTTTGGGTCTGGCTGGGAGAGGCCTGCTTGCCAAGAGAACTGGCGAGCTGCGGCTGAGCATTCCCATCAGAAGGTGTGCTGCACTCAGCTTCTGAGTCTGGGGCTGAAGTCTGGGGTGCTTCGGGAGTCAATATGTGACTACTTTCGGAATGGACTGCACCAGGCACATGCCCGTCCCTTGTGACTGTCACCTTGGGAAATTGGCAGGAACTGCCAGGGAAAGAAGAGTGTGGTTAAGAGAAGAGTCAACAAAAAGCTGAAGGTGAGGACATAGAAAACGTGAGGGAGAAATTCTCCTCAGGGCTACAGCTCCCCAAGTCAGGAGCGGTGTGAGGGGGCACAGTTGTTGTGTGCTCCCAGAGCACAGACCCCTAAAGGGCCTTCTCCTGAGCCCAGGGCTGGGCCCAAGACACATTCACTAGCAATTTAGTTTTGGCAAATGCGGTTATTGGGCTCCAGAACTTTCTAGAAGTTATGGATGAACAGAAAATAGTGGTGGTGAGTGACCTTTGTGGCATTTAGAAGATGCTACCCCACATATTTTTGTTTATGTTTGTTTTTCAGACAGGGCCTCTATACATAGGCCAGGCTGTTCCGGAACTCTCAGAGATCCACATGCCTCTGCCTCCTCAGTGCTGGGATCAAACGCTTGGCTCCACAGAGTGGCTTTTTTTTTTTTAACATGTATTTATTTGGGGGAGCATGTGTGTCACAATATGTACGTGAAAGTCAGGACAAAGTTCTCCTTTCACTGTGAGGGTCCTGGCTTGTGGCAAGTGGCCTTACTAACTAAGCCCCAAAGAGAATTCTGCTATGAGCAATCACCAGTCTCAGAGACTGTTGGGAAATGCTTGTTCCTACTTAGCCTGGCTTCCACCACTTCCCCTAAATGCCACTGATGCTAGTTGTCCTTTATCTCTGTGGACACGGAGTGCCCATAGACAGGAAACCTAATTTGGGTTTAGTATCAGGAGACCCTTACAGCTAGACAGAAGCTGTCTTCTCCACTGTCTGTTCTGCCAGCAATAAAACAGCATTTCTGGATCCTATTTCTTATTTCTTTGACCGATCCGAAATTCAGGCAAAGGAGAAGGTTTTGGCTCTTTCAAGTTCTCACTTCTCAGCATACAATAAGAGCTAGCCCCTCAAGGCAAACAAATGAACGGTGGTAGCAGCTTCATGAGTTGAACAGCATGAAGATTCTTTATCTCAGGACTCCCTGTGAGCAACACAAGGATGCCCTGGGAACCCTGACTGCGAACACCTGAGTGAAGGCTGACCCCTTGCCCTCAGCCAGAGGCTTGCCCTGGCTGCGGCTGCTCACTCACCTGCTGCCGGGTTCCTTGTATGCCTCACTATCTAGCGGTGCCTCGTGCGTGGCTTGGGGAGGAGGTGGTGGGAAGTCATCGGGGCTATTCACTAGGGTTTCCTGGCTCGGCGGAGGATACGGAGGTGGGGGAAGAGCCTCGAATGTGGGGCTTGAAGTAACCTTGGGGTGCAAGTCCTTCACAAACACTTCATCGTCATAATCCCCCCGTGGTAGCGGGGAAGCCTGCAGGGCTGACTCGGATATTCGGAGAGAGATCCTTCCTGGAGTGTCTGGGTCTGAAGTGCTGCATGAACTTGGCAGACTCTGGTTTTTATAGTGCTTCAGGTTTGCAGACTCAGGTGCTGAGGTGTCCTCTGAAAGGCTGTCCTCTCTGACTGCATGGGCCCACTTCACCCAGGGCGGAGGGGGTCTCTGCGGCAGTGATGCCCTCCTCCACATGCCCTCTTGTAGCCCATGCTCTGGGCTGTTGAATTCATGGCGTTCTGGGCTGGGAGGCTGGGTCACTGCAGGGGTGGAAGCCGGAAGAGGCTGCAGCCCTGTCTGCCCACTCCGTTCAGTCTGATGATCCATGGTAAGCTGTGACCGGTAACTGGAGGGGACTGGAGAGGGCAGAGGGGAGCTGAGTGAGGCCATGGAGGCAGCTTTGGCATCTGGAAAGTGGCCTTGCATTTCTGACGAAAGTGGCCTAGGGCAAGGTGTTCTAAGTTGCTTCAGATGGTCTGGGGCTCCAGAACATTCCATAGGAGCTGAGGAACCAAGAGTAGAACTTGAGCCATTCCGGCAAGGGATAGGATGGTGAAGGGGCGATGCTGGCTCTTTCTGGCCTCTGTCTGAGCAACTGGTAGACCTGGAACAGGGCAGACAGGACGGTCAGAGCTCTACCAGACACAGATGAGGACCCTCACTCCAGAGAAGCCAAACACTCTCCCTGGGACAAGTTAAACAAAGTAGACAGGCAGTGCCCTGCAGGCCTGCAGGCAGTGTCGATGCGACCACTCTTCTGTAACCCTCCCTCACGCCCAGCCTCCTGCCAGCACACACGTTAGACGCTTCTGAGGACAGGCTGTGGGACGCGAAGGAAAACAAGGAACACACGTCTTCAGCTCCTCTTGGGATCACTTGGGGGAGCTGCTCCAGGCTCTGGGAGAAAGCCTGATACCTCACTGTCGCCCTGAACCACCCCAAGGGAGGGTCTGCTGGGGAACACTTGTGTGGCTGCTGAGTCTGAAGGTTTGATTATAGCATCTCTGTTCCCTGAGTCTCCCAGTGTCCTCATTCCCTGAGGCAAAAGTGAATAAATAGACAAAAAGGAGAGTGAATCGCTGAAGCAGCCAATTCAGCTGCCTCTGCAGGAGACTGACAATGAGCAAGGGCCAACAGGGTGCCTTAAGAGCCTGTAGTCACCAAGGAAACCAAACAACCAACAACTCCTGACACACACACACAGAAGGGGACAGAGGAGACAGGGAGGGGAGAGTACGGGGTAGAAGAGAGGAGAAAGAGTCTGGAGCACTGCTAGCCTAGACCTGTGATGCAATAGTTAATGTGTAGATTAAAAAGACAATCTCTAGCAAATCCTGTCATTTGTGAATTCTGTGTCTGCAGCTCCCCGGCTGGCGGTAGAAGGGAACCTGGAGAGCAAATGACACCTTTCATTTCACCCATCTGAGGCCCCAGAGGAAGCTGTGACTCTCACGTACATTCCAGCAGCAGGTTACCACAAACCATTACAGTGTCAGGCAAGGACACCGCAGAATACATACAGCAGCAGGCCACAGGGACTCGCAGCCTTCACTTTTATTAGACACAGATGGCTGAGTAAAGAGTCTCTCAGTTTCTCCTCTCAGATGCAGCTGCTCTCCCTTCCCATCATGGCCTCCTTCACTAGTCAGTTTCTTCACTAGGGACCCTGCTACGCTCACGGCTCTTCTGCACCCCTCTGTGGATTCAGAGGCAAGGCTAATGGGAAAGGTTTCCCCTTCTAGTCATGCATTTCGGCATCCCTGGCACCTGGCAGAAGGTATCCTGTTGGTGCATGTATGTCTGACGAAAGAATACTGTTTCCTCTGCCCAGCAACTCTCCAGATCCGAGGATAGGAACTGTTTTAAATTTAATGTCTTAGCTAGGTATGGTATGCACACCTATAACCCTAGCACTACAGAGGCTGAGGCAGAACTCAATGTTCCAGGCAAGCTTTTTGGACTAGATAGCAAATTCCTAGACTACAGAGTGAGAATCTTTCTCAAAACAAACAAAAGCAACCAAACAAACAACAATAATACTTAGCATCCTCCTCGCCTGCCTTCAAGGAGGTTTAATGTTAGTGTGGCAAGCATCTAAACAGTAGACTGGCCCCTTACTGGGTGCTGTACTATTCTGCGTTCACGATGTCCCCTTTAAAAGCCTCTAGACATACATTATAGACACAAAACAATACAACAGCCGGTAAGGAGCCAGCCTACTACTTAGTGTTTTTAGTTTATGTTTGGTTTCTCTCACCACACTAACATTAAATCCCTTTGGAAGCAGGATTAAAGCTCAATGCTTCACTTGGTTGAACTTCTTCATGGTGATTGTTTTTCTGTTTCTCAGGAATAATTTTAGGGTAAAAGCAAAACATCTTAGTTCGCTAATATAATCACAGTCCATATTTGATAGGATTTCTTCTCTTTTTAAGGCTGAACAATATTCCGTTGTGTTCACCATGTTCTATTTATGTGGTCATTCCCTGATGGGGACTTGAGTCCCTGACTTTCTGACTACTGCCAATGGTAAACAGCGCTGCTATGAACTTCACATGCAAGGCTTTCTCAGACTCAATCCTTTGGGATACAGACTTGGGCCTGCTGTTGGTGGGTCATACGCTGGTGCAGTCATTAACGCTTTCAGGAACCTCCATGCTGTTCGCTATGCTGCCACCAGTTTATATGCCCAGTGTACAGGTTCTGATTCCTCACCCTTGTCAACATTTGTGTTTTGTGGTTGTTTTTTCTATTGCCACATATGCATACATACCTAGATCCGGTGCCAGCCAAACAACACGGGTCCTTCACAAAAGCAAAGCAACTGTCTTCCTTCAGGAGCACATCCTGGAAGTACAAGAAAGGCAACACTGAAGCAGGGTGCAGGAAGGAAAGGGAAGGCGCCTGCGGTACTGGTGACCTCCTGTGGTCAGGCCACGGCAGCACTCAGACATCCCTGCTTCGTCCCCAAAGCTCCAGGAAGACTGCTGGAAGGCACTGGTGAGGAGAGGGCCCAAGGCCAGAGTGGGTCAGCATGAGAACTCCCGCAGTCTCTGCAGGCATCTGCCCTCACAAGAACGTTTGTCAAGGAAGACACGTCCAAGGATTACTCTGGAGTTCACAATCACTGCAATACTCAAGTATGGTGATACCCACATGAATTCAATGGGTCAAACTTTTGAAATGGCAACTGGTGGAGATGGGAAATAGGGAAGACAACAAGAAAAATTACCGTTTTGCAAGCTTTCAAGTGTTCTGAATAGGAATCTAATTTGTAATCAGGAGACAGTAAACTCTCCCAAGTCTCCCTGTTATGTGCTATCAGTGGCTTTTCAGGGTAATTTTTGTTTGTTTTTTTACTATGAGCAGATATCGGTATCTTGAAAGGGTTAATAATACTGCAACACTGCTGGTGTAAAATCTATCCCAGGTGATCTGATCATGAAGAAGAAGACACTTGCTATGGATGATAATGTAATCAGTTCTCCATTACTTACAGTAACACGACACAGGTAGGAAAGGAGCATGCATATACAATCTGAGCCTAGTTTTAGTAACCTACTCACTATTTACTCGTCTAATGGGATAACTTCCTTCTCCATGTTTTTGACTGGGTAGAAGAACTTATAGTCAACGAAGACTCAAATGTTGCTGGCTGGGGAGATAACAAGTGGACAAAGTGCTTAGTGGGAGCTGGACTCGGGTCCCTAGAGCTCACATAACAGCTGGTGGTCTTAGTGGCCTGCCTGCAATTCTAGCACTTGAGACAGGGGTCCCAGAGCAAGTCTGCTAGCTAGATAAGTTATACTCGTGAGCTCTGGGTTCAACTGAGAGACCTGTCTCACTACCACTAACCCAGGGGGAGAAAAAAAGATTCTCAAATGTTAGCTTTGGGCCTCTACACACACACACACACACACACACACACACACACACACACACACACACGTCCTGCAAACATATACACGTGTAAACAAAACAGAGGTTGGATGGAGTTATAGTTTACTGGTAGAGTAACTGCCTAGCATGCATGAGGACCTAGGTTCAATTTTCAGTATTCTATTTCCTCTCCACTGTTGGTCCCCAAAAGTCAAAGGTGATCAAAGGCAGATGAAGGGAATGAATGCCAGACATTACTAATCACACAATTCCCTTATTAGGATATATTATAGTGCGCCAGACACTTTGCTGAGTATCTTGCATGGAATATTATCTACTTGACATTTCCACTGAAACCTGCATGTATACACGCATGCGTAAGTACATGTGTACATACACAACTAGTCATGTGAGTGCAGCTCACAAACACTGCCTACAGTTAAACAAACAGAGGAACTAGGATTCAAGCCAGGACTGCTGCAAAGCCCAAGATCTTCTGTGGAATTTCAATGGGTAAATGCAGCTGATGGGTGCGATCAGGTTTGAACACTTGAAGATGAATTCCATGCACCAACTATGACTGCAGGACAGAGCCCTGTTTTCAGGAACCCTACAGTCCTTTAAATCTTCACTCCACCACATGCCCCACCACCCTCCCCCGTTGATACCAGTAGGCCAGTTTTTGCCAACAGTTAAACTGAGTGGCCTAGGACCCATCTGAGTTCCTGGCACCATCCTTAACAGCCATTTGTTCTGCAACTGTACTCTTCAAATGAAGAAGAATACAAGGAAAAAAGCAATGGGTGCTGTGTGTTTCGGAGAGAATACCAAGGGGGTGAGGGAGAGGCCTCGTCTTGTCAAGCTTTGGAGTAAAACTCTCAGGCTATTTGCAGTTATCATTTCAGACCTCCAAATTATCAACCACTATACCCAGGGAAATTGATTTTCATGATGATTTGTTTTGGAGACAAAATGTACCGGACTGACAGAATTTTGAGAAGGACTGTCAGATGTTCGTAGAGTTGTTCAATATCCAGTGTGTACACAGACAGACACACAGACAACACACACACAGACACAGTCACCCCCACCGACACCAAAACTTATAAAATCTTACACTATCAGCATCTGATTACTAAGAGCCAATCATGTTCTGCGGGTGTCATGAACACACACACACACACTAAAGCTTATAAAATCTTGCACTACCAGAATCCGATTAGTAAGAACAATTGGTGTCATAAACTCAGGCAGTGCCAGAAATGAATTCTACAGAATTTTGGTTTTAACTCAGTTCAAAGTTACCTACCTTGCTTGAGTTCACTGAAGCTAGAAGAAAAATTCTTCATTAACCAAATCTTTACACAATCTTGATAATAAGAGAGTTCTTTAAACTTTGTAAAAACTTGAATGTATAGTTCTAAAATTCATAATTCACCTTGACCCAAGTACTTATGCAGTAAGAATAATTTTGTCCATTCCCACCGCCCCTTTCAGTATCAGAGACCAAACCCAGGGCCTTGCTAGCTTTCTATCGCCAAGCTCTGCCCTCAGGCCCCTTGCTTTGTTTTAACCACAAAAGGCTAAAGATGAGGAGCACCCAGGAGGCTGTCCAGCAGCATCTCTAGTCAGGCCGGGACTAGCTGCTGGGCTGGGAAGCAGCTCAAGAATGTGAGTGCTGGCGAGGAGCACAAGGCAGGTCTCACCCTGACTGTCCCCCTTGGCTTCCTAGTCCCCGGTTCAATGGCAGTTATTACAAGGACACCTAAATACTGTTCTGTGCTCAGTTATCTTCTAAAAACAGTCCCACAAATAACACAAAGTACTTAGCTGGGATTTGAAGAAACCTTACCGCTTCTCCAGAACAAACTAAAAGCTCACTTGGCATCTATTTCCCAAGTGACCTGCTTATGAAATATTGGGGGGTGGGGGAGATGACACAAAGCATTTAGTCATCCAACCAATTCCCCAAGACAGAATAATGACATTTAAACAGGAGAAGACTTATTATTTCTTGTCTATGCTTTCCTATCTTTGTTTTGTTTTTTGAGACAGGGTCTGTCTACACTACATAGCTCTGGCTGTCCTAGAACTCACTATGTAGACCAGGCTGGCCTTGAAATCACAGAGATGTGCCTGCCTCCAGAGTGCTGATAATAAGGGTGTGTGCTATGACACCTGGGTGTTGTTTTTTTTTTTTTAAATCACATCATCTTTACAATATTGGGGGAGAACAAACTGCTGTAAAATTAGCTGAAAACCCTTGTGCCCACCCGCGGATTTTAATAACCTTTTGGGGAGAAAGACATACTACAGGCTTTGAATGGCCTCTGTAGGCTTTTAAATGGGACAGCATTTTCTCTCACAAGGATGTGTGTGAGTGGGTATGTATGTGTGTGCACACGTGTTTCAATACACTGGGAGATGGGATATTTCCTAAAGTCTCCCCCACAAGCACAGACCTACATAAAATATCAAGAGCCAGACCTGGTGGCAAAGGTTGGTTTCAACTACTTGGAATTCTGAGACAGATGGGCTGAAAAGTTCAAGGCCAGCCTAGACACCTTAGTGAGACCCTATCTCAAAAGAAAACAGTAGAAGAGGCTGGGTGGCGTGGTTACAGTTCTTCCTTGGCATGCAATGTTCAACTGTCGGGACCACAAACAACCATAAAACAACCTACACACCTAAAAAACTACACACACACACACACACACACACACACACACACACACACACACACACACACACACACACACACACACGGCAGCTCGAGAAAACTGCAGAAAAAAACCCCAGCCATATCCTACATTTAAAAGAAAAAAACGGAACAAAGGAGAGATGCTCGGAGCGCCCCGCTAGCGCCGCCAAGAGTCGGAGGGCCAGCCCAAGGCAGCCCTAGGCCAGCTGGCTTGGCTGCACCTACCTGGCCTTTCTTGTCTGCGGTGGGAGACGACCTGGACCTCACATGCACAGGGACGGCCAGGGTGTCAGAGCGCTCCAGCAGGTCCTCGGCTGACTTGGACTTCCCGGCCTTGGCGGTCACCATGCTCCAGGAAGGCGGCCGGCCACCAGGGGTCCTGTCCGGTCTCTGGGTGGCCCTGGGCCCGCAGCTGGCTCCGCTGGGCAGCTGCCTGGGGGGCTGAGGGTCCCAGCGTCGTCGCTCCCCGACGAGGCGCCCGCTGGCAAAGGAGCTGCTGCGATCTCGGGGCGCCTGCGGGGCATCCGAGGCTGCCGCAGACGGGTGGGGGTGCTCCCTGCGGGGCGCATCGGGCTCCTGCAGCGAGCTTAGGCTGCAGGCGGAGGCCAGGCCAGGGCCGTCGGGGCCTGCAGTGGGGCCGGCCTGGAGGTAGACGCTCTGGGCGCGCTCGCGCAGCCCGGGCTCCGGAGGGCAGGCGGGGGCGGCGGAGGCGGAGGCCGGCCGCTTGCCGGTCTTGCGCTGGATATAGTCGGCCAGGGCGCTCTGCTGGAACTGCTTCAGCTCGGGCCCCGACAGGCTGAGGCTGGAGCAGGCCTTGCCGTCGCGCTCGAAGAGGCGGCGCCGGTCGGCCACGGTGCTCTCCCCGGAGAAGCGCGGCGGGGCCGGCCTCGGTGGGCCGCAGGCCGCGGGCTCGGCCTCCTCCGAGACCCCCACCTCGTTCATCTTCTCGGGCTCCGAGTAGGAGCGCTTCTTCTGCTCGGCCGTGAGGCGCCGGCGGGCACCTCGGCGGGGGGCGGCCTGGGGGGCGGCCGGGGTCCCCGCGGCGGCGGCCACGACGTCGGCCGGGGTCACGCTGTGCCGCTCGCGTGGGGTGTGCGGGGAGGAGGAGGAGGGTGAGGGTGCCGCGGCCTCGGGGCTCCGCATCCCCACGTGCGCGGAAGCCGGTCGCGGGCGCCAGGGCCTCGAGGTCGCCGGGGTGCCCGGCTCCAGGTCGCGGCGCCGAAACGAGGTGGCGCCCAGGACGCGGGACTGGGCGTCCTTGATGCTGTTCCTGTAGGCGCGGCTGAAGGGCGCGTCCAGCAGGGGCGACTCCGGGGTGCTGGGCCTGTCCTCCGACGACCACGACGCTTCTCTCTCCGCCTCGCTGAAGAGCTGGAAGGTGCTCTGGCTGCGCAACAGGCGGGCATCGGGCCTCGGGGGTGCCCGGCCGTCCCCGGCCCTCCTCAGCGGCTGGCCGCACGGCTGCCAGCACCAAGGCTCTTCCGGCCCGGACTCCCGGTTTTTGAAGCTGGGCTCCCCGGGGCGCAGCTGCTCCGTGGACTCGGAGACATGGGTGCCGGCCTTTGGATCCTCGAAGTCGCCGCCACCGTTGGGACCCGAGGTCGAGCCGGTCCTGTTGGGCCTGTAGTTGAGGCCGTAGGCGGAGCTGCCCACGCTCGGGAGCCTGTGGCGCCCTTGCTCTCGCTCTTCGATCTTGGAGACCTTCTCCAGCACCGAGCAGTGGGGCTTCCGGTACTGCGGGGCAGCCGTGCTGCTGCTGGAGCTCAGCCGTCTCTGGCTCACACCCGACGGCTGCTGGAGTGGGGGGCCCGGGGGCTCTTCAGACCTTGAGTCGGCCCCGAGCAGAGAGTCCGCGGCCGCGCTCATTTTCCCCTCCGGCCTCGGATGGGACACGGGCCCGGCTCTCCTGCCGGGCTCTTCCGCGTTGGCGTTGAGGGCACAGGCGGGCCTGCCACCTGGGTAACCCTCCTGGGACGCCTCTCCTCCGAGCTCCATGCTGCTGCTTTGCCTTCTTAGACTCTCTGGAATGTTCTGGAGAGATGAGAAGGCCGACTTGGTCCTGCCAAAGTTGCCTGACTGGCTCTGGCCTAGGCCTTCCCTCTCCAGTTTCTGCCTGAGGTTGGCGTTGTGATCTTCCTGACCAGATGAGGGGCTGTGGTGATTAGAGCACGGTCTGCTGCCATGGGTGTTCTTTCTCTCGCTGGGATATGGGCTGTTGCCTTGGAGGGGTGTGATGTGTCTCTTCAGGGAGGGATCTTCATCTTCGGGCACTGAAGAAAAGTGGACTTTGTAGGGGACATACTTGGCCGTGGGTTCTGGGTTCCTCTCCCCTGGGGTCACCGAGGCGTGCTCTTGGGGCTGACAGAAGGCAAACCCGGGCCTGTTAGCTTCGTTTTGGTTCCCATTCTCATCGAAGGTAGCCATCTTGTTGCGAGCTCCCTGAGCAGCTGTGTGCCCGCTCTCTCTGACCAGCGCAGGGTAGACCGTACCGTTACTACTCACAGAAGGCTGAGGCACCTGGGCAAAGTGCGGCTCTGGAGAGGGTACCGGATAGATGCCAGTGGGCAGTAGGGGTTGGCCGGGCTGCATCTTCTGGGTCAAACTATGCTTAGGTTTCACTGGGGGGCTGTTCTCCGGACTCCTCTCTGGGACGGTATGCAGCTGTTCCTCCATGAGCGGGGTCTTCAAGGAGCCTGAGGAAGCCGTCGGAGGTCGGCAGAACCTCTTCTGGTCAAGGCTGGACCAGGAACTGGGGCGCTCGCGATGCCGGAAGGCTGCATAGCTGTCGCTCCGAGTGGGGGGCGTGGGCGCACCCACTTTAGGAGGCAGGTTGTCAGTGGCAGTATCCGAGGACCTGGGGCACTGCCGGCTCCAAGGTGGGGATGGTGCTACCTTGCCCCGAGGAACACTGTGCCATTTGGTGCAGCCATGAATACCTGCTGACGCGTGGGCATCCCTACCTTGAAGAAGCAAGGCTGTAGGGTTCACTTCATACTCTGACGATACTCCCCTCCGGGTATCGTAGACTGTCTTGACATAGCGAATGTCTGCTTGCCTCATCCCTTCTAGGAGGCCGCCTCGAGCAGAAATCATGTCCGTGGAACCCGAGCGTTCTTGACCAGAGCCACCAGGGGGTGGGTACTCTAGGATGCTGGAGCTTGTGGAGAAGGAGCTATACGCCGAGTCTCTTTTATTATGGAGGTGGCCGAGCTGGTCGATGCTGCTCATGGACTTGGCTGGAGAAAGGAGATGACAGGATGGGTATCCGCCGCTAGGCTCCAGGCTTTCCATGCTCCCCTGGGAGCTGCACTGGTCAGGGCTCCGCCTCAGATAGGCATGGTCATAGTTGGAGAGGTCACTTGTAGAAGAGCTAGAACAGGAGACAGAGAAGTCAGTCGGCTGAGGAGGTTAGTGGGCTCACAGACACAGGGCTCAGCTTATAAATTCGCTCTTATGCAAGATGTTCCGTTTTCGGGAGGGTGGGTCAAAAGGGCCTTATTTGGGGCTTGCTGTCATCCCTGTGTTGTCACTAAGATCAACTGCCCAATGCCATATGTAGCCTGATGAGCCTCTAATTAATCACTCAGGCTTACTAGGAGAAAGGGGTGGCCTTAGGCACAAGCAGCACGCCTGCGTGACTCCCTGCATTGTAAGTGACATTTTGCACATGCCCAGAAATGAAGGAGGTGAGTGGGGAAAACTGAAGAGAAGGAAGAATGACAGAGGAGAACATTTTCTGCCTATTGTAGATCCTTGTGGGGGAGATCGAGAAAAGCTTAGTAAGCAAACAGGCATGCGAAGGGCTGGGGGACTTGGGGAGACATGCATATTATTTTAGTTAATTTCTTTCCTTTTTAAGGAGTCAAAGCTAGGCCCTGGCAACCTTCCTGAGTCTCAACACTGGGAGGGACAATTTGTTTGTGGGGAGAAGCTAAACACAAAGCTGAAAGGAGAAATACAGGAGGAGACATTAGAGCCAGAAAAGGTCAATGAGAAGAGAGGGCAAGGGAGAAAGGGAAGCTGGGAAGGAGTTGTAGCCACAGGAAGTCCTTGAGGCTGTGAGTCCAACACCAAAGCCATACTCAGTGTGCATTCAGGAGCGCAGGACCTTTGTATTCCTAAGCTCCTCTGGGCTGAGGAGGAGAAGTCTCAGTATTGGCCCTTTGTACCCCAGAGAGCTGCCTCAAAAATTTTTGTTTTTGTTAGATAAGCAGAGAGTCTAACATGCATGTGTGGGGACCAGGGAATTTGGGAAATCTTTGTAGCTTCCATCCAATTTTGCTATGATTTTAAAACTGTTCTAATATTTGACTATAAAGGGCTGGAGAGATGGCTCAGAAGTTAATAGCACTGGCTGGGTTTGATTCTTAGCACACACATGATGGCTCACAACTGTCTCCAATCCCAAGAGATCCGACTCCGTCTTCTGGCCTTGGCAGCCACTATATATGTATGAGGTACACAGATGTACATGCAGACAAAACACCTACATACATCAAATAAAAATTTGCTATGAAATATATTTAGGCGTTTGGGCAGTGATGGCACACGCCTTTAATCCCAGCACTTGAGAGGTGGAGACAGGTGGATTTCAGTGAGTTCAAGGTCAGCCTGGTCTACAAATCAAGTTCCAGGACAGCCAAACAGAGAAACCCTGTTTCAAAAAGCCAAACACACACACACACACACACACACACACACACACACACACACACACACACGGCGTATAGCTCGGTGGTAGAGCTTTGCCTAGCATATGTGAGGAACCAAAAAGAAAAAAGTATACACCTATGAAGAAGCCATATTAGAACAGACAAGGATCAGTCAGCAGTCTCCTTATGGTAAACAGTGTTGTTCACTATTATAAATGCCCTGGAATCTCTATTCATCGTACTAGGTAAGAACTGATTTACCTTTCTCCCATGTGCTGGGATTAAAAATATGTGCCATCACCACCCAGCCAAAAAAATTAATTTTTAACTGCTCAAAACATTGTGAAAAGCACAAGACAAGTACATGAAAGATTTCCTGATATGTACTCACAGAATCTTAATTCATAAAACACCAAATCTGTTTGCAAAACACTGGGCTAAAGTTAAACAAGTTTGTTTATCGCTAGACTTCTGAGTCTTCCATAAACCATTGTTCATCTGTTGTTCCAAAGGGGAAAGACATGAAGCAAAGTTTTCTAAACTTATTTGACTTCAGAAACTTTCTGCCAAGGAACACTTAATGAACTTTCATTTCATGGAAGAGTTTTCAGGAACAGTTTTATAAAGTGAAGCATTTCATATTTTCCTCAGGGAGCATGCCCATCACTAAGACCATCTGAGACATGGGTGTGGTCGCATTTGCCAGGTGAATGGGTCTCTCAGTGAGTCCTGTATGTTAGTGTTTTGATAGTGCTCCTTCAGCCTCCTTTCAGAGAGACTACGTGTCCTCAGAGTCTCTTCCTATTCTTTAGACCCCCTCGGTGGCTCTTTCATAAGACAGCAGAGAGAAAGTGGCAAGGGCATGGTGGAAAGCAGCTAACTTCAGGTTTCAGGGCACTTCCAAATCCAGCTGTGCTCACAAGACAGTTCAAACTGCCTGTCCTCACTGCCCCTGGCCCTCCTGCTCCTCCCTCCCCATCTCCCTCTCCTGTTTTCATCAGAGAAAGATCCTTGAACGTAGACATAAAATTCGGCTCAGGAAACTAAATTCAAGCCATCAGAGGGAGGCCAGCGTACCACCTGGATCATCTGGTGCCACTGTGAGCCTAGGGACACAGCAGCAGATCTTTTCAGCTGCAGCTGCCATCGTGAGCCTGAGTAGACCGAGAGGGAGGGAATGTCTTGTGACAGAGTTGTAGGTGTGTGTGGACCAAGGCGGGAAGGGACACAGGGACTTGCAGCATTCCGCGTGATCTGAATTGGCCACGCAGTGCTTTTGGGTCAATAGCTATGTGAGTATCAAAGGACCAGGAGGCAGACACAGTACAAGCACAGTTCAGCCTCTCTAACCCCCTGCTGGAGCTAGGTCAAGGGGAGAGGGGCAGTGTGGCCTCTGGAATACTACTGCATTTTGATGCCACCACTCCTGAGACCTGTGGAGCCCACCACGGTCACTGTAAGCAGGGTGTCCCACACAATGACTACAACAGTCTGATTCCTGCTGCACGGTCAGTATGTTCCTTAGGTCATGTTATTACCTCAGATTTAGGGCTTCCTAAGAAAGCAAAGATGGAGGCGGATGCTGGGAGGTTGTAAAGGATTCTGCCACTTAGTGGCGCTCGTGTGTTCTGCTTTATGCTAAGTTTAGCAGGTCTCATAGACCGACTGTGTCTTATAGTTGTCACGTATGAAATGTTTCCTGTGCACTAGGAGTTGCATGCAATCCTTTAGTTAATGTTCACAATGACCCAGTGACACAGGAGTCATTAGTTTCATGTCAGAGAAAGGGAAGCCAGAACCAAAGTGTGTGCCTGCCCATGAGCAGGTGAGGAGTGAGAGCGACACCAGGTCACACCTAAAACCGCAAGCCGTCAGGTGCCCACACTAAAAGCCCTGACACATACAGGTGTGTAAATCAAGTGTCCTTTGTGGGGAGGGTGTACTGTGAGGAAAGCCACTCTCCGGAACAGGTGGCTCAGATGGTGTGAACTGGTCCCCTTAAGAGACTGGGAGGACACCAGGTGTGGTGGTGCACGCCTTTAATCCTAGCACTTGGCAGGCAGAGGCAGGCGGATCTCTGTGAGTTCCAGGCCAGGGCTGTCGTACAGAGAAACCCTGTCTTGGAACTCCCCCACCCCTGTTTCCCCCAAAAAGAGAGAGACAGAGGAGGGGGGGAGAGAGAGAACGGGGGAAGAACGGGGGAGAGAGAGAGAGAGAGAGAGAGAGAGAGAGAGAGAGAGAGAGAGAGAGAGAGAGAGAGAGAGAGAGAGAGAGAGAGAGAGACTGGGAGGCCTATGGAAAGGGAAAGGAGGGCCTACGGGAAGTTAGGTAACTAGGAACCACTTCTTCCTATGGCCTGATGCTTACTCCACCATCGGGAGGGCTATGATTTGCCTTGGAGCAAAGCATGGTCTGTAAGGGTTCTAAATGAGTCCTACCTTCCCCCAAAGTGCAGCCACCATCTGTTAAATAATCCTTCCTGAAGCCTCCAGTGGTTCTCCTTAACATGCCGCCTGCATCTCACTTCTAAGTGGGTCTCAAATGCCCTTCCCACCTCCTGACCTCCACCCTATCTCTGCATGACTCAAGTGATGACAACACTGTGTAGAGCCTGACTCCTCAGCATCTACACAGAGTAGCGTGTGCATGCAGTTGGGGTGGGCAATCCTGACTTAAGTTTTTTCTTCAGGATGTTGAGGGTCGGGGTTTGGATCCCCCTTTCCCAGTTTCTCTTGGATGTGTAAGGCCTGATTCCTGGAATGAGCCCTTTCGGATTCGGCACTCGTGGAGGCTCTGTCCATTCTTGAACAATCTGAACGACAGCAGGGTGACTAGAGCACCAGTGTAACCTAACAGCTATCTGCGGAAACTGCAGGACCTGACTCAGCCCTGTCTTCTCCACACACTGGTCAGCTGTCCACACGCAGCAGACTAATTCGTGCATACTTCAGCCTCTTGTTCTGCAAAGCAGGGTAAACTTCTGTATTCTTTTTTTTGGGGGGGGTTGTTTCAACGCAGACTTTTTTTGTGTAGCCTTGTTCGGGCTGTCTTGGAAGTAGCTCTATAGGCCAGGCTGGCCTGCCTCTGCCTCCCGGATGCTGGGAACTAAAGATGTGTGCCAACACTGCCTGGCTACTTCTGTATTCTTTAAAATAGTACTGCATGCAGAAGAGGGACCTGAAGGGACTTTGTGAAATCACCTGTCTCTGACAAATCCTCCATCTTAGTTGTTTCTGCTGCAGGGCCAAGCAAGATAAGTTGCTTTGACAGAGGAGGAAAAACCAAGTAGATCATTTAAATATAAGCAATATCATCAATTCAGCTGAATTGTGCAGACAGGATATTGAAGCACCCAGGAAAGAAATCTGTCAAATTTTCAAATATGAGTATTGAGAAGCAGCTGACTGGGAATGGGTTCATTCCATAAATATCTCAAATGACCAGCCATGATCAAACTATTTCTAGCCTTCTCTCAACAATCTAGCTCAGGATGTGATGGAAGAATGAGTCACCCACATGGTTACCATTTTAAGAGGATGAAAAAAACCCAGACATTTTGGGGGAGAACATGACCTTTGAAGGAGAGAAAACCTTGGATGCCAGCCGTAGCCACTCACCTGGAATGGTAGCTTTGGTGCCAAGGAGGGCCCATCGTGCCCTGAGATATCTTCATCATGCTGGCATCAGGCAGGTTCTCTCCACATTTGGTTGTATGCCAGGAGTGGGGGCGAGCGGCAGGTTCACTGCACCTGAGGAGACACAGGAGGGGACCCTTCAGGATCAGCAGCTTCTCACCGAGTTCTCTCATGAAGCAAAGTAGCTAAGGGCCCAGAGACCTGGGTCCCAGGGATCACAGATACAAATATTGCTTACTTCTCTGATCACTATGCTCCTCAGCTCAGCAAATATTCCATTTTACTTCTTATTCTCACGTAACTTCAGACCACATAGGAATATTGCAAAGTCAGTATAATTTTATTTAGGCTTCCTACATTTTGCCATTTTAAGTCTTCTGAATGTAAGGACATGGTTGCCCTGGTCTTTTGGACCTCCAGATTTAAAGAAAAATAGGAACACCAAAATTCCTCCCTATTTCCCAAGGGACTTTGTGTAGATGCATAGTGAAAAGCCTCCTGGGGGTTTTCAAGTCCTCTGTGGGACCCTGGATAGACGGAGCTGCAGCGGCACTGTCTTGGTAAGGACTGTATGAAAGCCAGAGGCTGCCCTGCACGGACAGTGAATGTTCTACACCACGGTCTTGAGAACACAGTGTTCTCCAAAAGACTTTCTCATTTTTTTTTTAAAATTGGTGACTTCAACTTTTAAGCATCTACCCTTAAAGATCTGATGGAGCCGAAGGGGAAATGTGGGTGTCCTTCAGACTGAACATGAGTTCAGGGAGGAGTCAGAGACTCCAGAAAGACAGTCACGGGACAGTTGCTGTGCGGTATTTTTGGCAAAAGAGTGAGGTGATCCACCAGGCATCTCATGCTGACAACTTCTGAACTATGAGACCACAGGGGGATGAACATTTCTGTAGTTCAGAAACACTTTGGATGCAGGATCCACTTGATAAGATGAAAGTAATGGATGTAACTCATCCCAACCCCTCATACTTTCACCTGATCCCTAAAAGCCTAGCCGTTTCTCATCTATATACATAAATTAGTTTCTGTAATGGAAAGGAAAACCCAATCCGATGATGCCAGTGAACTTCCATTTGTTAGGCATACCAGAACACTACTAGACCAGGCGCCTGGAGACTTCAGTCCCCAGCCAAACTCTGCTGTTAACCAACTGTGGAAGTCACTTCCTGTCCATAAGCTTCTGCACATCTAAAACCTGGAGAAACTAGTCAGAGGCTCAACTCAATCTGATTTTTGAGACTACAATTATATGATAGAGCTGATCCATAGTCAAATGCCAATAAATATTAATATCCATTATTATGATATAACTAAATTGCTGTTAATGAATTGATAGAATAGAGGCCAGGCAGACAGGCCTGTTAGATAGACCTACCTAGAAGGAAGAGCAAAATGGGGAGAAAGAAGTTGAGGGTGGATGATGGTGGATATGGGGATGGGTAGGTGGGAATACTGAACCGACCCTTCTTCCAGCTCTAAGATCATTTATGTAGTATCAAGAGTCAACAATTACAAAGAGGGGACAGGCCAGATGGCTCAGCTGGCAAACATTTCTGTACAAGGCTGCCAGCCTGAGTTTGATCCCTGGAACCTACAAGAAGGTGGAAAGAGGAACCAACTCCACAAAGTTGTCCTCTGACCTTTGACTGAGACATGTGCCTCCTGTCAGGTGTACACACAAATAACTATTTTTTAAAAATCTAAAAAGTAACTACAGAGACTGGTCTCAAAGTCAACTGCGGCCAAAATAAACAGAGTGTGGCCACGGTGTCGAGGCAGAGAGCTGCTATGGCACTGACTGTGGCCTGAAGGGTAAACAGATGTCAAACAGTGGGACTGCCTGTCTGGAATCTACATAATAACTAAAGGAACTCTGACGATCTAGGAATTGTAGATGAAGCTCAAAAGTCAAGCCACCTTGAGTAACTGGGGTGAAACTGCTGCCTGTTTTCTGGGGAACTTGATGTCCAAGGTCCGAGGAAGACTAGGAACAAGAGAGCCAAGCGCTCCTCCAAAACAGCTCAGCGTTGGCAGTGGGGAGCCTAAAGGCTCAAGAGACAGGGGGACTAGAGAGGGACTAGCTGAGAAATACTTGCTCTTTTCTTGGTCTCTTGTTTTACCCTTCATCCCGTTAGCTCAATAAAGGCCACAGTCAGGGCCAGAAGAGCCACCGATATGGATTGAGATCACGTGACATCTGAAGGCATCTGAACACAAACATCAAGTTCGCTTGAATGGGGTCTGGAGCCAAGACCCGGAGGTGGAATGGCCTCCAGATGACCTCGGAGGACTGTTATGTGTTAGATAAATGGAGAAGGTGACACTGTAGCTTATAAGTGAGCACTGGAGGGCTCCCCGATGAGCTGCTGACGGGGCTGCATGGCCTTCCAGGTGCACAGGCCAGCTGTCAGTCAGACACAAGTCACACGTACAAGACACAAACAGACTCTAGCACCACAGAATCATATTCTTAGCCCTCTGACTGACCCGTCTACCTGTCTGTCCACTGTTTACTGCGCACACTGTCACAGAGGACAAAGTTCACCAAAGCACTCCACATTCTCACCACAGGGAAGGAATTCATGACAGCGATGTATCGGGTTGTCTGTCAGAAAGAATGGTGTAGCCTTCGGGTTGAGGTCTTCATGATACCCCTGCTGAACACCACATGCTAATAAGGATCTTCTTGTGTGGTGCTGATAATTTTCCTCTTTCACTTTGTGTTGTTTCAGATGCATTTTACTATCTTGCCTAGAGGACTCCAAACTCATTGGTTCAAATTATTTCCCCTGCCTCAGTCCCAAGGTATATGCCACTGTAGCCAGCTATTTCTTCATCTATTTTAAAAATGGACACATATAGAAATGTATTCACATTAATACAGAGACTACCTTATGTATGGACCTATAACTAAACTTAACAAATAATTAGCATTTCCCCATATTCATTTTAAGTATTCTTTTGAATAGACAATAAATCACACAATTAAGAAATAAATAAAAACCAGTGTGCAGTCTTGCCCTCTCCCAGTACTAATCACTGTAGTTGATTTCTTTTTTTTTTTAAACCTTTTTAACCTTTATTTTTATATGTATGTATGGTCACATGCATGCAGTGCCCACAGATCAGAGAGTGCATTGGATTCCCTAGGACCGGAGTTGCAGAGTTGTGAACTGCCTCTGAAAGAGCAACCAGTGCTCTTAACTGCTGAACCATCATTCTGGCCCTTATAGTTAATTTCTTATGCATCCTTTCCCAGCGTCCCATTATGTAAACACAAGCCTACATAAACGTGTGAGTGTGTGGCCCACTTGTACAGATCCTGTCTAGTATGCACAAAGCCCAGGATCTTACCCCGAACAACGAAACAACCAAGAGGTGGACTGGTGGGCAGGATGGTATTTAGAAGGGAATACAACCTCAGGGGAACATCCGAAAGGGGACATCCTTTTTAAACGTCACACAATGTACCCTGGGGACTTTTGGCTTTGCAGACTGAATTGTAAGAGTGAAGTCCTTTAGCAGCCAGACAGATGACTGACACCACAAGTTAGTAGAAAGGGTAAAACTCTTTTCCTTGTGTTGTGTTTACCACACTAACCCACATTTGTCTCCTATCTCCTTCCCTGCTATGCAGTCTATTCCTCCTCACCCTCCATTCTGAAACAGGTTTAGGGACTACCACAAAAATAATACAGGAAGAGAGAGGGATAAGAAAATGGGTTGTCTTTTTTTTTTTTAAGTCAGTCAACAGTAAGTGATGCCAAAAAGTTCTATTTCTCAATATTTAAATCCTGCTCTCCACCCCCAACTCAGACATACACATAGACACAGACACACACAGAGAAATCGAGCAACTGACCTTCCTATGTGTAAGTTTCACACCTGAGTCTTGACAACAGGATACAAACACTGTAGTATCCATAATCCACAGTAGTGTTCAAATTTGCCATTAGTTGTCTTTCAAATACAAGTATGACAGGATGGTAGAACAACATAAACTTTACCAGTGGTCCCTCTCTCATTCTCAATCCTGAACATGGACTCAGGCATTACTTTTTTGTGGAGAAAGGAAAGGGGACTGGTTTTTACCAGTGTTTTCAGGCATCAGAGGTAATGACTTTGGAATTTTCTTCCCTACTATGCCAGGACTATGACAGGAAGAATCAGCTTCCACACTGGATTGCCATCAGTCAGGCAGATGCACACAGACACCACAAGCAAATTCTACCTGATTCAGAGATGCTGAGATAGCGGTAAAGAATGGGATGCCTTGTGTCCCCTTTGGGCTCTCCTGGGTCCTTCCCAGAGGACATCTACCAGCAGCCAAAGCAGAGGCAAGCAAGACTGGGTTTGTCCCCCCACACACCCAGGGGCCTGCAGGGTTGGGTGGGGAGCCCCTCTGTCACCACAGCTGGAACCCATACACTGTCTGGAAGTTTGAGGGAGCCCAAATATCAACCAAACTATTTAAAATTCAAGATAATTAATGTTTTATAGAAGTTCAATTGTGTGTGTGTCCGTGTGTGTGAACGAGAGAGAGAGAGAGAGAGAGAGAGAGAGAGAGAGAGAGAGAGAGAGAGAGAGTGAGACAGCATACTACATTAAATAAAAACAGTATCTGAAACCTCTAACACTGAAGAAGCTGAATTCCTTTGCAGAGTAAATCTAAGATGCACAGTGCTGGGTTTTTCTTTTCTCTATTTCACTCTCTCACCATTTAAAAGAATACAAATAAGAAAATAAAGAGATAAGAAAAAGGTAAATACCAATTTAATAAGTGGTTACAGGAAATCTATTTTTTAAAAATCATACTAGAAAAAATGTTTATTAAAATAAAGTTTTAAGTCAGTCGGTGGTGTTGAACACCTTTAATCCCAGCACTCGGGAGGCAGAGGCAGGCAGATCTCTGTGAGTTCGAGACCAGCCTGGTCTACAAGAGTGAGTTCCAAGACAAGCCTCCAAAGCCACAGAGAAACCTTGTCTTGAAAAACCAAAAATAAATAAATAAATAAAGTTTTAAAGTAACTGGAACCCATAAAATGAACGGTCTAGGTTTGGGGGTAGAGGAGCTGAAAAGTAGGAAACTTCTAGAATACCAG